TAATATTTTTTAATATTATAATTAATTATTTAAAACATTATAAATTAATAAAATATCAATTAAATCAAACACAAATATTATAAAATCTTTACAAATTCATGTTCATACAGGGTCCTTCTTTTGAACTTTGAACCGTCTTATAGAGAAATAATGTAAAGAAGAGTGGAGTGAAGAGTTCACGTGCACTAAACTTCAAAGGCAAACCCAGCCCTCAAAGAAATTATTTTTTTTTTTTTACGGTTTATAATTTAAGGGATTGAAGGAAAATAATTTTTAAAAACATTGATGAGATTCAAAATTTTAATTACTTAACACAAACATCGTTTAAGGTTCGGAAACGAACCATTTGCAGCGGAAACATCAGTTGAAGAAATTAAATGTCTTTAAGGCACTAAATTAATATAAAATGTATTTTTAAAATTATTAAAAAAATTAATTTCAACGGTAAGTAAATAAATAAAATAAAATAAAAAGAAGCACCCAATTCCCCCTAGCTAGAAAGTAGGACTAAGAGTCTAAGAGTCCATGTACGAACTATGGGGCTTAATTAATGTAAAACTGTAGCAAGAGTGGGACTAGGTGGGGTCAAGACTGAAGACTGGACAGACGGTAACTAAAGGCACTTTGTGAAGCAGTGAGTGAAGGAGCGGTGGTGTCGGCAAATGGCAATTAGCCAATGGCACGCGCGGTGCTCAGTAGCCATCCAAATGTCTCCGCCACACCATCATATGTCGCTTTCAAAATAAGTACCCAAAATTCTCAGCCATCGATGACTGACATTTACCCCCCACCCCACCCCCGTTTCCTTCACTTCCCTCCGCACGTCTGAGCTCCATCCTTTCATTTAGGCTTTTTCTCAGAGATTGTGATGCGGGCATGTTACTCTCCCACAACAACGCATCAGGGTGACACAAACACAAATTTTTTTTTTTTTTTTACCAAGTTTACAAGGATGGGTATCGCCCTCACCATGGGAGAGGGAGAAAATGCACTGCACGGCAGCCTAAGGCCGCTTGCCAAGTGTGACACAAACACAAATTTTTTTTTTTTTTTGACCAAGTTTACAAGGATGGGTATCGAACTTACCATGGAATAGGGAGAAAATGCACTGCACGGCAGCCCTAAGGCCGCTTGCCAAGTGTGACACAAACACAAATTTATAATGTTATCTTCAAAATATTAAATTTGTTTAGGGGTTTTTTTAGTATTTGAAGTAAAATATCCATCAACGAACCGTTTTTATCAAATGGTATTGTATTTTGAATTAGAATAATTTATTTTTTATGAATTATGTGTTTAAATTTTATGAATTTTTTTTTAGTCTCTCAATTAATTTGTAAATAATTATATTATATTAAAAAAATTAAAATGTCCTCATATTTAATTTTACGTATTTTTACACAAATTCTTTCATAAAAAATATTTTAATGATACATTTCACATTAATTCAATATATTTTAAAATTTTTATTTTGTAAATACTAATTTAAAATTTGAACCACATACTCAATATATAAGATGATAATTCTTTATTAATAGATTCTACACTTAAAATTTTAAATTTATTTAATTTAATTATGAGAAATAATTAATATTTATTATTTAATATATTAAAATTAATTTATAAATAATGTTTTAAATTTTATAATTAATTACTTAAAAAATTTATGAATAAATAAAATATTAATTTAAATTAAATTAAATTATTATAATTTATGTGATTTTAACATATTATTATGTAGTCATAACTACAACATTGCTATTCCCTCGTGATATTGGAAAAATTCATAATTCTTGCAAGTACTAGTAGTAGTGCTTAGGGCATATATATGAAAAAATGCATAATGTTAGGATGCCGGTCGATTTAAATGTAGGTATGCCAGCTTCATTATAACAAGGGCCCAAGGCAATTGATGGAAGTGCACTTCTTCAATTCAACAAGTAGTTATAATGCAGGCGGCTGGAAACAGTTCAATCAATAATGCGCATTCACACGTACAATTCTCTCCAGAAATACCCATCAACTGCAATGAAACTAACAGTTTCTTCAAAGTGGCATTCATTTTATTCTGTAGTCCGAATTATCTAATTGAAATCGTTGAATAGGGGCTCTAATATTTAATGCTATTTTATATTTTATATTTTATAATTAAATATAATTTAAATTTAAAAATATTATACAATTTAATTATATTAAATTATTTTATATTAACAGTTAAATAAAAGTAAATTTTTCCATATTGAAATTCTCTATTATTTAATAATCTATATTTAATAATTTAATATATTATAAATTACAAAATAAAATTTTTTAATTTAAATTATAAAATAAAAAACTCTTTATTCATATAAACTTGCATTTCTCAAAAAGACTCCCTTAACAAAGGTGAAAAACAAAGATGAAGAGAGCATTTTTTTTTCTCAAGAAATTTGTCCTGTAACGACCACCTCATAGGTCAAAGAAACAAGAAGAAACAAAAACACGAGAGAGAGAGAGAGAGAGATCATTTGATCCGCATGAAACTTAAATCATAGATTAAAGATCTCTAAGTTGTCTGAGATTCATTGGAGATATGTATTTCTCGTCCCCATCAATCAATTGCTTGGCGACTATAACATTGGCAGCCTCGCTGGGGTGGTACGGGTCCCAGAATACATGCTTGGACCGATCGGTGCACATACTAGATGTTGGTCCACAAGGAATTATCCCTGCAAATTGGCCTCCATTCCCACAACAAGCTCTAGTAGCCGTTGTAAAACCTGCACACATAAAATTAATTATAGCACACTGCATGGGCATATAAATTAATTAATTAGTACCACTTAATTAATTGATTTAGCAGCCAAATTAAATGGTATATGGCTAGAATTTATTGGGGCGGGATTAATAATTAGCACCATATTTGTCGTAATTTGTGATGAGCTCCATCACCAGGGCATACACATTGGCTTCAACAAATGTGGCTCCAGGAAGGTTTTCACTCAACGATGCAAGCAAGTCCTTCAATCTTCCATTGTACTGAATTGCTAACTTATTAGCCAAATCGACACATTGGTTCTCAGCCAACTGATTTATTGTCTTCTGGTATGGTATGCAGCCTATCGGTCCAACATTTCCGAGGACAAATTTCCTAGCATCCATTTGGTAAAGCCTCTGCCACACATATCACAAATTAACATAATCACTTCGATTAGTATTATACATTTATACGAACAGAACTTTTAAAATTTTTGTTACATACAGTTAATTGGTCCCTTAGATGATTGATCATGTCATCGATGAAGGAATCAGGGGTTTGGGAGATCCTTGCACCTATGGAGAGAACAGGGAGAAGATAATTGTTCAGGAAGTCATTTGCTCCAATGGTGATTGAGAAAATCGATTTCTTCATCATATAGTCCTTTGCCTTCGCCGCTCCCAAGAGTTGATCAAATTGTTTCCTGGTAATGTTGAAGTAGTCTACTTGGACATCCAGTCCTAGCCGATTCACCTGAAATAATTAATGTGTAAATTAAAATACATATATATATATACACACATGCATATTATGAGAAAAGGGAAATTAATTAAGGGGGAAATTAAAACTAACAAATATCCTTCCGGTTGCATTCAGAATCCCTCCTCCTCCTGATGCATAATTCACACCATATCGTATGGCTTCTCCGGTGGAATTTGGTGCCAGAAATGGAATAGAATAGTTTGGTTGTCCCAATTCCTCACCTATCAATTAAAAAAACAAAAATGTAGATATATTGAATGAAATAAACGACATAGATTTTTTATTTGTTATTTTTTTTTTGAGATAGGAAACTTACCTATTATGTCACCAATAGTCCTGCCGTTGGTGTAGCGGCCGGTGGGGTTTCCACCGGACGCTTTGAAATCAATTCCATTAGGTCTGATATTTGCCCTGGACAAGGTGGATAAATAATTATTGTTCCCGGCGTCCACCAGAGAATCACCGAAAACGAAAGAAGCTGCTAGTTCTTCTGCAGCATTTCCAATGGCGAAGAGAAGAACCAAGCAAGCTAAAGTGCTGGATAACCTCAAATCCATTGCCATGGCCATGGGACGCACCTTCTTCTAAAATGGAATTAAAGCCTTAAAGCACCATGGTTGTCCATCAATATATAAGTAGGTTCCAAGTAGCTAGAAGATAAATTTGTTGGTGAATCTTGTAAGCTTACTTTAATTTGGTAAGACTGTGTTGCTCAACGAAAAGGACTTTGGGATCCATGCCGTGTAGAATTTTAACGAGAGTGGTTCATCAACCCTATGCAATTTTCTCAACTTGGTATGAACTTTGGACCTTTTCTTTTAGCTTAAGAATGGACAAATGGCCAGGACCATTTGTTAGATTATGGGCAACCTGAATCAAGACTATTTCTTTAATTATATTTACACATAAAAACATTACAAGTAGATATCAAACCAATAACGGACTAATCTTAATAATTAAATTTATTAATAAATAAATATTATTTTATAATTAAAAATACAATAATAGAGACTTGTCCAGCCGAAATGTTTCATGCAATTCTGCTCATGCCCTTAGATCGAAGAGGCCACTTGAATGTGGATTTAAGGGTCTCATTTCGCATTTCTCATTTCGAAGAGCCGAAACTCTTTATCTAATGTTGGCTTATGCGTTTTTTTATATAGCCCAAATCCTACTAGGTTAAGTCCAAATTTCACTGAAGAGCAGGTTGGGTCCAACTACGTAAACGGGCTAAAAGTCCACTTAGCATAAACAATTTTTTTTTTTTAAATACCCATTAAAGGAAGGGCATTAAAGTCAATTCAGATGAAACCAACGCACTTTCCCTTTTCCCTCCTCCACTTCCCCATCAAGCACCACATTTGACCGTTGCCTTCACAGAAATCCCACTCGGAGTCCGCTGCCAAATATGAAGAAGAGAGCATCTGCAAACCCTAATCTCCAACTCGACTGCAATGGCGGAATCCAGACCTCCAAAATCTCACTCTACGAGCAGTCAAGAGAGGAGAGAATCAAAGAAAACCTCCAAAGGATGCAGAAACTCGGTATCATGGATCTGTCCCATAAGCTCAACTCTCTCCTCCCTGACAAGCTCACTCGGAAGAAGAATCCATCATCGACCTCGTACTCCTGTCCCCTTCCTCCGCCTGGCCCCGTTCGCCGCTCCTCTAGGTAACTTAGCCCTTCATTTTTATATTTTCCTTTTTCTTAATAATAATAATAAATTAATACTTGACTGTACTGGTAGTCTGGTACTTTTTATGTGTGTTCTATGGCTGGAAAAATGTAGAGGAAGATATGGCAGACTTGAGATTAAGCATATTTCGAGGCGGTTGATAAACGAGAAATGCATTTTTAGGCATGTATAATCACTAATTAAGTGGGGTTTCTTTATCAACTAAGTAAAGAAGATAGCTTGAAAATTTTCACTGATCGAAGAGAAAAAAAAATGTTTTGATTTGGTTGAATATAACTAGAGCATGGATTCTCTTCCCTTAGGTTGCAAAATGCAGCTCCTGTTAGCTATGCAGAAGTGGGTTTGGCAAAGAAAGATGAGGGTGTTAAGCTAGAGGTGGGTACAAGGCCAGAGGTGTACACGGAAGAGCATGAGAAGCTGTTGGGTAATACCGAGAGGAGCTGGACACTTTTTGTGGATGGTTATGGAAAGGATGGGAACCGGATATATGATCCCGCCAAGGGAAAGACTTGTCATCAATGCCGGTAAGTGGTCTTTAATAGTAAAAGCATTCTTTACCTCTTCTTTCTTTGCTGTTTATTATCAATCTGTAAGTTATAGTTAATAAGCTTGATTTATATTTGGTTGATTATTCTATCTTTTTTCCTTATACAGCTATATTAGTTTCTCTATTACTAAGATTGATATGACGTTTTGCAGGCAAAAAACTTTAGGTCATCGTACTCACTGCTGCAAATGCAACATGGTCCAAGGACAGTTCTGTGGAGATTGTTTGTACATGAGGTACAGACTTTTGGAAACATTCTTTGCTCCTTTAACATCTTTCGTCTGTGCTTTGCAAACAGAGAATGTTTGTTTTCAAAGCTCTGTGTGCAGTGCAGTTTAAGCACATTGAAATTGTATTTGGCTCCTACCTTTGAGTTTTATCTCTCATATCACCTTATAGGAACTCATTAGAATTATGACTAGTCTGTTCGCAAATGTGAACTAAATAAAACCTCATTTTTCATTAAAAAAAATTCACTTATCCTTACTTCTACATTCAGAGATGCTTACAATGTTCTTCAAGATCTTGCTGTTTCGAAATTCCTCCAGTTTTATGTCACATATGGTATCTCAATCTCCAGCTTACATTACATTTCCTGCTGACGCACATGGAAGTTATACCTTTCAAACTGACTTGACATGAATAAATGTGGATCTATTTGAGCTCAGCAGATGTGCTAAATTAAGTACATACCTTTTTAGGAGAATATATCAAGTACAAACTTGACACTAGTGCTTTATGTTTTTCCCCAGTTCATGTAATAAGAGAATTTCTCTTTCTGACCATGCATTGTAGCAGAAATGTCAGATGTAACACAGCTAATGCCTTTAGGCTTTATGCCATAGTAATTTCAGTTTCTTTTTCTGTTGTTGATATTGTTTTTAAATAATATATATGCAGATATGGAGAGCATGTACTTGAAGCTATAGAGAATCCTAATTGGGTTTGTCCTGTGTGCCGTGGAATTTGCAACTGTAGTTTGTGTCGAAATGCAAAAGGATGGGCCCCTACTGGAGCTCTTTACAAGAAGGTCAGTCTGTCAACTGGAATATAGGTTGTTGTCTTACTTTCCATTTTGAAGCTGAAACTAGAGCTAACTTTCAAGTTCATCTTCCAGATTTCACAAATGGGCTTCAAGTCGGTTGCACATTATCTCATCCAAACCAGACAGGCACAAACCAATATTGAAAAGAATCCAGAGAATAGAGATCCAGTTTCTGCTAAGAGGTCACTGTCATTTCCAGACGCAGAAGCCCATCCAGAGGAACCTTACAGGGATGATAGTAATCACCTGGGAATATCAAAGGCTCAATCAGAAGAAAGAGATCATGATGGCTTTAATAGTGAGAAAGAGAACAATCCAGCTGCTATCCATCAAATTTCTGTAAAGGAATCAAATCTCGAACAAGAATCCAAAGATGCAGAATCTGAAGAGATTGATCTCAAGGCCAATGGCCACCTTGGTATTACAGAGCTTGATTTTGAAGATAAGAAAAATGCTGGCTTTAAAGTTGAACATGGGGAGTCTCATCTATCACTCAAAGAACATGATAGTAGCAATATGGTCTTGGAACCACGCTTTGATGGAAAATATGATTTCCAGAGTGATGAGGTAACAGGGATGACTGTGAAAGGTCTTGATACCATACAGGCTATAAACAATACATTTCTGTTGGAAGAAAAGAAGGAAGTGAAGGAAGTACTTCATTCATATAACAAAAATGGTAAAAGAATTGTTAGATCAGGTAGTGATTCAAAGCTTAAAAAGAGATCTCTTGCTGCTGAGCCTACTGTGGACAGTATTGCTGGAAGGTTAAGGCAAAGGTGTAAAGAAGTCAAAGACCATAATGTGCAGGCTTTAAACATCATGTTGTCAGAAAATGAATTGGAAAAAGGGGAATTGGTTCATGGAGATAACCAACATGGTGAAAGTAGTATTGGAACTGAGAGTAGTTTAAAGCTTAAGAGACTTGGT